ACTGAGGAGAACAAAAGGAAAACCCACTCATGGACAGGTTTGATTTCACATTATTTGGCTTATTATGTCCACTTTCTAATGATCAACACAAACTTCAGCAGAGACACAAACATTGACTGCGGCACAGTGGTGCAGCAGTTAGCACTGTGGCCTCTCAGCAGAGGGTCCTGGGTTTGAGTCCGGCTGACTGACACTCAGAGTCAATTCCTCATTCATAAAGTGAAAACTGTCAAAGCTCAGAGGAGAGAATTCATCTGCAGACATTTACAGTGGTCGCTCACTATAACACGTTTCACGGATTTTCTTTTGTGTGCAATTTTGCATGCTCTTTTTTTTTCTTTTACTGCGCATTGTGTTCAATTCAATTCAATTTTATTTATATAGCACCAAATCACAACAAAAGTCGCCTCAAGGCGCTTCATAGATACAGAGAAAAACCCAACAATCATATGACCCCCTATGAGCAAGCACTTTGGCGACAGTGGGAAGGAAAAACTCCCTTTTAACAGGAAGAAACCTCCGGCAGAACCAGGCTCAGGGAGGGGCGGCCATCTGCTGCGACCGGTTGGGGTGAGAGAAGGAAGACAGGATAAAGACATGCTGTGGAAGAGAGACAGAGGTTAATAACAGATATGATTCAATGCAGAGAGGTCTGTTAAACATAGTGAGTGAGAAAGGTGACTGGAAAGGAAAAACTCAATGCATCATGGGAATCCCCCGGCAGCCTACGTCTATTGCAGCATAACTAAGGGAGGATTCAGGGTCACCTGGTCCAGCCCTAACTATATGCTTTAGCAAAAAGGAAAGTTTTAAGCCTAATCTTAAAGTAGAGATAGTGTCTGTCTCCCGAATCCAAACTGGAAGCTGGTTCCACAGAAGAGGGGCCTGAAAACTGAAGGCTCTCCCTCCCATTCTACTTTTAAATACTCTAGGAACAACAAGTAGGCCTGCAGAGCGAGAGCGAAGCGCTCTAATAGGGTGATATGGTACTACAAGGTAATTAAGATAAGATGGGGCCTGATTATTTAAGACCTTGTATGTGAATGTGTATGTGTATGTGTTCTGTGTCCTAATTGGCTGTAGACCATTATCAATATATCTCGTGCCATGTCTCCTGTTCAGAACAGAATGTGTTCAGCTTGTCAAATTTACATAAATATTCAATCTCTAGCAGTGTGACTCTGTAAGTTTTCTCCCCAACAAACACAACAATGTCAGCGACGTTTTGCACCGTCAAAGGCAATCGAGGGTGTCTTTTTTTTTTCCATTCTATAATACTGGACTTATTTTTTCTACGAAGGTTTGAAAGTTGGCTACTTCGTGGATTTCGCCAATTGTGGGTTATTTTTGGAAAGTAACTCCCGCGATAAACGAAGGACCACTGTATACAAAAAAACTGGAATTCCAGTTTAACATTAGTAAGCATTACACAGCATGCATTAACATTTTTTAAATGCGCAATAAGTTCTGCTCCAAACTGTTTCTGATTCACAGATTGCTGTGTCCCATGGCCTTTGACCTGCTAAAGAGAGTCAGCTGTGGACTTTTCATTGTTGTTTCTGACACTTAGAACTTTGAGGAAGAATAGTACCCAGTTAATCAGGGTCCTTTCTCTCTGAATTAGGAAAGGTCGGCAGGCCAGTTAGCACCCTGTGGAGGTCCACATCTGGGCCATGGGCCACACATTGAGTATCAATGTTTGAAATGTAAATATTGTTCTGCTACAGTCAGTTGACCAAACCAGAGAAGAAGAAAACAGACTGTACCATTAAGATCATCAGTGTGGCTCAGTATAATATCAGCCTTATGTCTGCAGTTTAGTGTCAGCCGAAATTTCACATCATGTTCATCTCAGCAGAACTAAAACTTGGTGACTGACCTCAGAGCTTCAAGTACACATCCTGGACTCTCCAGAAAACCACACAGCTGCTTCACTCCTGAATCCTGCAGCTTGTTGTTCATGCTTAGGTCCAGCACTCTCAGATGGGTGGGGTTGGACTTCAGTGCTGCTGCCAGATAATCACAGCTGATCTCTGACAAACCACAGTCCTCAATCTGTATAAAGAATGAAAGATGTAAGTTTATTAGACAAAGTGTGAGCTTGAAATCATTCAGTGTTTCATCATCTGTTCAGAGCTGAAGAAGGTTCAGAATGTAGAAGTTTAGAAAATGGAAACTCCAAACAGCTGAAGCCAACAGGAAGCAGCTTCAAACAAACACAACAAGAGAAAAAACTCTGAATGTTTCACATTAAAGTCGTACATTTTCATAAAAACAGGACAACAGCACTGATGAACAAGTCGTGTTTCTAGAACCACATGGCTTTTCCACATGTAAAAAAATATATAAGGATGAAGTCCTGCAGATAAGATGAATTAATACATGAAGTTCTACCCCTTTTCGATAAATTTTCTTGTAAGAAAACGACAAATTCATTTATCCATTAGTATTCAATTCAATTCAATTCAATTTTATTTATATAGCGCCAAATCACAACAAAAGTCGCCTCAAGGCGCTTCATAGATACAGAGAAAAACCCAACAATCATATGACCCCCTATGAGCAAGCACTTTGGCGACAGTGGGAAGGAAAAACTCCCTTTTAACAGGAAGAAACCTCCGGCAGAACCAGGCTCAGGGAGGGGCGGCCATCTGCTGCGACCGTTGGGGTGAGAGAAGGAAGACAGGATAAAGACATGCTGTGGAAGAGAGACAGAGGTTAATAACAGATATGATTCAATGCAGAGAGGTCTATTAACACATAGTGAGTGAGAAAGGTGACTGGAAAGGAAAAACTCAATGCATCATGGGAATCCCCCGGCAGCCTACATCTATTGCAGCATAACTAAGGGAGGATTCAGGGTCACCTGGTCCAGCCCTAACTATATGCTTTAGCAAAAAGGAAAGTTTTAAGCCTAATCTTAAAAGTAGAGATAGTGTCTGTCTCCCGAATCCAAACTGGAAGCTGGTTCCACAGAAGAGGGGCCTGAAAACTGAAGGCTCTCCCTCCCATTCTACTTTTAAATACTCTAGGAACAAGAAGTAGGCTTGTGCGAGAAAGACATCTACTTTGATAAAGTCTACTCTCACACGCTGTGTAATCAATTATTGTAAAAGTAAATGTTATCAGGAAATGATCAGACAGGAGAGGGTTTTCAGGAAACACTGTTAAATGTTCAGTTTCTATGCCATATGTTAAAACAAGATCTAGAGTGTGATTAAAGTGGTGGGTGGGTTCTTTTACATTTTGAGAGAAGCCAATTGAGTCTAATAACAGATTAAATGCCATGTTGAGGCTGTCATTTTTAGCATCTACATGGATGTTAAAATCACCCACAATAATTATTTTATCTGAGCTGAGCACTAAATCAGATAAAAAGTCTGAGAAATCAGACAGAAACTCTGTGTAAGGCCCAGGTGGACGATAGATGATAACAAGTAAGACTGGTTTCTGAGTTTCTACAGCTGGGGTGGACAAGGTAAGCATCAGGCTTTCAAATGAATTAAAAGTCTGTCTTGGTCTTTCATTAATTAATAGGCTGGTGTGAAAAATTGCTGCCACACCGCCCCCTCGGCCTGTGCTTCGAGATTTCTGGTAGTTAGAATGACTCGGGGGTGTTGATTCATTTAAACTAACATAATCATCCTGCTGCAACCAGGTTTCTGTAAGGCAGAGTAAATCATTTGTTGATCAATTATTAAGTCATGTACTAACAGAGACTTGGAGGAGAGAGACCTAATATTTAATAATCCACATTTCACTGTTTTACTCTTTGGTTCAGATGTGGATACTGTATTGTTCTTTCTTTGTAATTGTTTATGTTTAAGTTGTTTGTTGCTGGTTTTTAGTTTATTTTTGTCTGTTTGGGAGCTGACACAGTCTCTATGGAGATGGGTTTTTGGGGGGGTAGCAGGAGGAGAGAAGACTGCAACGCGTGTATCCTGGTCCCAACTCTGGATAGTATGGTTGGGTTCGAGGGTTTAATAAATTTGTCATATTTCTAGAAATGAGAGCTGCTCCATCCAAAGTGGGATGGATGCCGTCTCTCCTAACAAGACCAGGTTTCCTCCAGAATGTTTGCCAATTATCTGTGAAGCCCACATTATTTTTTGGACACCACTCAGACAGCCAGCAATTTAACGAGAACATGCAGCTAAACACGTCACTCCTGGTCTGTTTGGGGAGGGGACCAGGGAAAACTATGGAGTCTGACAATGTTTTGGCAAAGTTACACACCGATTCAATATTGATTTTAGTGACCTCCGATTGGCGTAACCATTTGGCATTACTGCAGACGTGAATTATGATTTTACTAAATTTACGTTTCCCCTTAGCCAGCAGCTTTAAATTTCCCTCAATGTTGCCTGCTCTGGCCCCTGGAAGAAAACTGACTATGATTGCCGGTGTCGCTAGCTTCACATGTCTGACAACAGAATCACCAATTACCAGAGTTTGACCCCCGGTGTGTCGCCAAGTGGGTAAAAACTGTTAGGCACATGAACAGGTTGGTGGTGTACCTGGGGCATCTGTTTGAGACTATGCTTCTTCCTCACTGTCACCCAGCCACCCTCTTTCCCTCTATCTTCAGTTGCAACAGCTACAGGGGCCTGGCTAGGTACAGGTGAATGAAGGGTGCAAAGCAGAGTCTCCAATTCAGTAATCCTGGCCTCCAGAGCTGCAAATATGCTACATTTGTTACAGGCATCATTACTGCTAAAGGAGGCCGAGGAGTAGCTAAACGTCTGACACAATGAGCAGGAAAGTGCAGGAGAGACAGGTGAAGTAGACCCCATCAGGGTCCCCTCTCTCTGAAGTAGGAAAGGTTGGCAGGCTGGTCGACGGTCTGTGGCTGGCTGAATGTGGGCCGCCGACCATACATTGAGTATCACTGTTTGAAATGTAAATATTGTTCTGCTACATTCAATGGATTAAACCAGAGAAGAAGAAAAAAGACTTTACCATGAAGATCCTCAGTGTGGATCAGTATAATATCAGCCTTTTATCTGCAGTTTAGTGTCAACACAACTTTCACATCATATTCATCTCAGCAGAACTAAAACATGGTGACTGACCTCAGAGTTTCAAGTACACATCCTGGACTCTCCAGAAAACCACACAGCTGCTTCACTCCTGAATCGTGCAGCTTGTTGTTCATGCTCAGGTCCAGCTCTCTCAGATGGGAGGGGTTGGACTTCAGTGCTGCTGCCAGATAATCACAGCTGATCTTTGACAAACCACAGTCCTTCAATCTGTATAGAGAATGAAAGATGTAATTTTATTAGACAAAGTGTGTTTAAAATCATTCAATGTTTCATAATCTTGACAGACTTCCGCTAAGGATTGGCTGTGCAATGGACACATAGTCATTGAGCTCCAATCCAACCGAACTAAATTACATCCCCCATCAGGGGAAACAGTTACATCCCCTAACAGGTTCTGAAGGTATGATCCTCCAGATCCAGCGAGCACATAGAGCCTTGACACTTAAGCCTGAGATAAATGGGACACCAGGATCTATAATCATCAATTTCCTTCAGTTTGATGTAAAAGAGATGGTCCTTAGACTTGCCTGCAAGAAAATACTGCTGCTGGGAAACAAACCGATTTTTTATTTTTTATTTTACCATGACCATGCCTATGAAGTGATGGAGAAACGCAAAACTTCAACAGGAATTAAAAAAGGCCCTAAAAGAGAGGAACCTTCGGTTTCAAATGCCCTTCACGCGGATTCGCATCCACTGAAGCCTCAATCCACGTACGTAAGGGGAAGCAGAGTACACGGTGAGAGAGCTGACAGCACAGGGAATAGAGGTGGCTTCTACACCTGCGAATCCAGGCCCCAGCATTGAAGAGAGGATACATAATGCATTTCCTTGGCATAGTGTGTATACAGAAGGGGGCAGAGAGCCATGAATGGAAACTCGAGTCAAATGTCAACTGAGGGAATATAGAAGAGATTTCTAAATATGAACGACAGGGATGATAAAAGTTATACTCCCAAGCCAGCAGCCTGAATGGGACGGTAATATGCATTATTTGGTTTCATTGCTGTTTAAGAGGGTGTGTTGACAGTTCAGTTGATCATATATATAAGGTGTCATATATGTTGGACTTATCTAGTGTAAGTCGGATGCACTTGGTGGACAGTCACCCAATCACTAGGGAGATTTACTTTTGAACATAATGCTACAATTATAGATAGAGAAGGTAGATTTATTCTGGTACGAGGCAAAATGGATGGGGAATTGATTACATTTTATAATGTTTATATTCCCCCCGGTCCCAACACTTAATTTATATAGGCAAACATTTGACAAAGTAGTGAAGGAGGCACAGGGAATGCTTGTCTGTGCCCACATAGCAGACAGGTCTAGTCCAGATCTGGTGTCAAGCCAGCACTGCTGGCTGACTTCTGGCATGGTAAGTGGTATGTCATCCAGATATGGGCAAGGCCTGGCATAGATGGCACTGTTTATGTGATAGCATGCCATATCTGTCCACATTATGGTTTGGTTTATGAGGCCCAGGCTCATAGAAAATAGGTCTTCCCCAGATCCGGCATTAAGCTGGCACTTCTGACTGAATGGTGTCATGGCAGGGTGTGTGTCAACCAGATGCGCGCCAGGTCTCGCAATGATGGCACTATTTATGTTCCTTTTTTCCTATTTTAGTAAGAAGACCCAAATGCTATGTTGCAATGCTGTAATGCTATGGTAGCCAACATTTCAAATGTAGGTTTGACAGGTTTGCGAGTGTACACTTTATCCAAAACCTAATGAGGGTTTATGCATGTTTATCACCAGGTGGCTGTAGCTCAGGAGGTAGAGCAGGTCATCTACTGGTCGGAAAGTTAGTAGTTCGATCCCTGGCTCCTCCAGTGTGCATGTCATGACTGTGAATGTGCATGAATGTAGTTAGGAAGCTCTCAGTTTAGAGGTAGTGTGTGATTGGGTGAATGTGGCATGTTGTATAGAGCACTTTGTAATCCGGGAGAGTAGAAAAGCGCTATATCAGGATGTCTGTGAAGGTTCTCAGTCATAAAGATCATTGTAGTCTAAGGAGCTTGGAAAGAAAAGCGTCTGGATGCCTTTAAGTTGCTTGAAGACATTTCACCTCTCATCCAAGAAGCTTCTTCAGTTCTAGGGACCTCAGGAAATTATATGATAGGGTGGGGCTAGGTTTCACAATATGCTCACCTGAAACCTTGGCTGATTGTGACCTACACCCGTTTTCACACCTTGGCTTTTGTGATTAGGTAGAGGATCATTTAGGGGTCCTTTGTCCCTCTTGGAGGGATACTCCCACAGGGCTTAAATCTGAGACTCTCCAACATTTGACCCTAGAACTAAAGAGGCTTCTCGGGTGAGAGGTGAAACGTCTTCAAGGAACTTAAAGAAGTTCAGATGCTTTTCTTTCTACATTGCTTGATTAATGTACACATAAGGCTGACATCTGGGGCCAGAGTTGAAACTGTTCTGGGTAAGCACAGCACACTGGGCATTCCTCGCTACACTGTACAGCATAAACCACATTGTTAAGAATGTATGCTGTACAGTCTAGCGAGGAATGCCCAGACCTCTACATTGGAGAGATCAAACAGCCACTTCACAAGCGCATGGCACAACATAGAAGAGCCACCTCCACGGGACAATACTCAGCCATCCATCTGCATCTAAAGGACAAAGGTCACTTTTTCGAGGATGCCAATGTTCACATTTTGGACAGAGAGGACAGATGGTTTTAAAGAGGAGTGAAAGAAGCCATTTATGTCCACTGTGAGCGACCATCTTTGAACAGAGGCGGTGGTTTACGACACCAACTGTCTGCCATCTATAATCCAGTTTTGAGATCCATTCCCAGATGCCTTAACGCCCACTAAATGATGGGATTTCCGGCACAATTGAAAGCATATGTGTATTGTTTGTGTATTTATACACAGGCACTCATATATATTCAAATAATTTGAAAAAAAAATGTTCATCTACCTGTTAATACCACACACCAAATCCGATCGTTGGTACTTCCTGGCTTGTGTAGCCACTAGGTAACGAAAGCTCCACACTGCGCCTAGCATCCTGGAGCACTTCTGTTGTATTTTGGAGTTTGTACGTGGTTCGGAGTTTTTACGTGGTTTGGAGTTTTTACGTGGTTTGGAGTTTTTACGTGTTTTGGAGTTTTTACGTGCTTTGAGGTTTGTACGTGCTTCGTTGTTTGTATGTGCTATAGAGTTTTTATGTGCTTTGGGGTTTGTACGTGCTTTGGGGTTTATATGTGCTTTTGATTTTGTACGTTCCTTGTCTCTAGGGGCCACCGTAAATATACTTTTACTTATTCACCCCACATAAAATGTAATAAATAAATCATATAATACAAAAAACAAAAACTATTTACATTTCAACTTTCAAGTATTTGAAATTTCAGCTTTTTCCCTTTAAAGAAATTTAAAGTGAAACAACACAAAACACTGCAAACCACAACACAATTAAATATAAATGTCACGGCCAAGCGGATCGGCTGCACGCTGATCTGCACTTTCTAACTGTTTCTCTCTCTCTCTTCCACTCTCTCTCTCCTCTTCTCTCTCGCCGGGGCGGAACTCACTGTGGGTTCACGCCCTTGGCCCACGCCTTTGGGAAATGAGACACCTTGGTCTCATTAAGATGATCGGTATTTAAGCCAGGAGGTGACCGCTGTTCATCGCTGGATCGTTGTCTACCACACATTAGTGAAGTCAAACTACAGCAAGTCAAGTTAAGTGTGTTTCTTTCGTGCATTGTATTTAATCCCATCTCCCTGTCTGCAGAGCTCCTTTGATTTCCCCCCGTGTGATTCCCGAGTGGCGAGTGTTGGAGTGAGAGCCTGCAATTGTGTGTGTGGATTATCAGAAGAACGCGTGCTTTTCCCTGGAGCCCCTTTCCCCCCACTCAGCTGTACATAGCACTCCCCCCGCAGCTTCTTGTATATACACCTGGTGAATTGTAAATAAATCTTTCTTGTGTGGATCTGAGCCTGGAGTCCTGCGCTTGAGTCCTTCTCTAAACCGTAACAATAAACTAAAATATGAAAATAAAAAGAAGATTCTCTGTCATATAGGCCTGCATGAATAAACTTTCTGAAACCTTTATCATTTGCAACTGAAAATAGTTGTGGATGAATACCATACCTTTCTAATGTGACATTGTTGTCCCTGGCTACTGCATCCCACTGGGACTTTTTAAAGGCTCATGTTCTCACTAAGATCATCTATTTCTACTTATATTTCTTTCTGGGGAAAGAAATATAAGTAGAAATAGTTCCTTTGAAAACAGGAACTATTTTCCCAAAAAGCAGCCCTGGATTAGTGAATCCCTCAAAGATGTTCTCAGTCAGAAGAAGCAGTCTTGTTATGAGGGAGAGAAGAAAACGATTGAGGCACATGAACTTGTTCAAAGAGGGATAAAGCAGCTAAAATCAGGTGTAAAAAGTAAAGCAGAGAATGAGCCGAATAAAGGACACTCAAGGCTGGCTTGGAAAGGAATGAAGTTCATGGTGGGGATTGTGAGATTATTATGCTGTCATATGTTACATTATACCTGTAATCAAAATGATTGAATCATGATACTGCTGTAGGTCACATTATACTTCTTATTATAGATTGTGTAATCGTTATGTAGTTTTAGTTTGCATTATACTTTTGAGTTGGAACAATGTGAAAATATTTAGACTTATTTGACTGATTTGTTATTACCTTATACTGCTGATTTACTGTGAATGAGTTACACTGTTTTATGACATTTCATACTGCTGAGTTATGAAGAGAATGTTGTGTGCAGGGAATCAGGGTCTTGCTTTTCTGATAGTAGAGAGAACAGAGCACACTACACGGGAGCTTCACCCCCACAATTGTTGGAAGCAGAAAAACAGGGAGCCAACTAACAGAGTTCATAAAGAATAAAGAGAAATGTGATGATTTAAGGCATGTGAAGTGCTTCAGATAATTTCTGTCCATTTATGTCCACTCATTCATTAATGTTAGCTATCTAATGCAGCTTTGATCTAGCCTGCTTTATTAAACTCATGCTAACCCTGAATGTCAGTGTTTTTCCTTCTCATTTCCCATCCTGGCAGTGGAGGAGATTTGGATGTTGGACTATGTTTTGGATGATGTGTGTATGTTTACAGACTGCTGTCTGTAAAGCAAATGGCCATTTTTGGTTTTGATTTTAGTGTCAGACATACTTTAAGGTGGAATGAAGAGGAAAAGTCAGCTGGCTAGTCTACACTCTGTGGAGGGCAGCGGGCAATTCGTTGAGTATCACTGTTTGAAATGTGAACATTGTTCTGCTGCAGTCAATGGACTAAACCAGAGAAGAAGAAAACAGACTTTACCATGAAGATCCTCAGTGTGGATCAGCATAATATCAGCCTTATGTCTGCAGTTTACTGTCAGCAAAACTTTCACATAAAATTCATCTCAGCAGAACTAAAACATGGTGACTGACCTCAGAGTTTCAAGTACATATCCTGGACTCTCTAGAAAACCACACAGCTGCTTCACTCCTGAATCGTGCAGCTTGTTGAAGCTCAGGTCCAGCTCTCTCAGATGGGAGGGGTTGGACTTCAGTGCTGCTGCCAGATAATCACAGCTGATCGCTGGCAAAGCACACCGATACAATCTGTATGAAGAATGTAAGATGTAACTTTATTAGACAAAGTGTGTGCTTGGGATCATTCAGTGTTTCATAATCTGTTCAGAGCTGAAGATGGTTCAAAATGTATAAGTTTAGAAAATGGAAACTCCAAACAGCTGAAGCCAAGAGGAAGCAGCTTCAAACAAACACAACAAGAGAAAAAACTATTAATTTTTTACATTAAAGTTGGACATTTCTAACAAGGGTATTTTAAAGACAGCATGGTAAATGGTCTGCATTTGTATAGCGCTTTTCTAGTCCCTAAGGACCCCAAAGCGCTTCACACTACATTCAGTCATTCACCCATTCACATGCAGGCGATGGCAAGCTACATTGTAGCCACAGCTGCCCTGGGGCGCACTGACAGAGGCGAGGCTGCCGGACACAGGCGCCACTGGGCCCTCTGACCACCACCAGTAGGCAAACACGGGGTTAGTATCTTGCCCAAGGATATTTGGCATGCAGCCAGGAGGCAGCCTGGGATCGAACCACCGACCTTCTGATTAGTGGCTGACCTGCTCTGCCACCTGAGCTACAGCCACCCCCCATCACTGATGATCATCTTCTTTTCAGTAAAACCTAGGTTGAACTTTCTGTCTTTATGTTCACAAATGATAATGTAACTCTGTGACTGTCCTGGAAGTTTCAGCAGGACAGACAATTTCAGCAGTATCATTACGTCCTTTTTACCTGAGTTTCCACAGCTCTTATAACAGCAGTGTACAGTCACCTGCAGGCACATGCTGCCTCTGCTTCAGCACTGTTTATGGTGCACAAACTGCAGGAACCAAACTCATACTGGCTCATTTGAATAATGTCTGCTTACAAAGACACTTTGAAACTCTTATCAGTATGTTTGCTGTCCTACTAGGAGGGATCAAACTCTGGACCTTTGTTCTGGATCAGTGAAGGATGCTTTTCCACCCGAGGAAATACCAGCGATGACTTGTGCATTCAAGGCAGGAATAGCAGCGCTACATCGTGGGAACAACACCGTCGGAACAAAGACACTGCATGGCCGATGAAGGACGAGGACAAAGAAAAGCCAAGTGAGAAGACCCTGGTGGTGTGGACGGACCTGCAGGGACTCCAAGACTGAGGAACAGAAACGTCCATGTACCAGCTGAGGATGCTGCAGTGATCCAGGGAGATTGGTCCAATCTGAGGCTTTACCCTGTGAACTACGTGGACCACAGTTTCTTCACAGACTTCAGGCATGTGAACATCTGGAGATCCAACAGTGCACGAGCTGTGAGCGATCAGCTGTTTATCATATACACAGATTCTCTCATTAGCTGCTGTAATGTGAGCGCACTGCTTGAATCTGCTTGAGCAGCATTATATCTCTGAAGTTGTTCGTTTCTAACCAAAGATATGGGACTGAGCTCCGCTGAGCTGGTTCTACATTCATCCAGTTATAAACTGGTACAGTCTGCTGATTATTTCTTTGCCACCATCACAGGAGGTCTTTATCCTGTTCTTCACTCTCATTGGTTCTTTGTGTGCTTGTTTTTAGAATAGTAGTCATTCTTATTGTTCAAAGAAGACAATCAGCTGTGACTAAATGTAGCTCCTACAGCAGTGATGGGAATAACTACTGAAGCTAATCCAGTATCAAAGCTCAGGAATCAGCAGTTCCCACCGCGTTTTCTTGGAATAACTATTTTTAGCTGCTGTGTTTTTGTGTTTCTGCAGACCTCAGACATCCTGCTGATCTGGAGAACTGAAGCTCTAAAGGGTTCAGTTCCACCAGGTCAGTTGATCTGTGGACAGCACCAGCATCTTTAACTAAAGCTGAGAGATGAGCAGTCTTTAGAAGCCTTTACTGTCTGATAGTGATGTTTAAATGATGGCTCAGAGCAGGATTTGGATCATTATTTTGCTTTTCTTCTATTATGATTTTTTTTTCCTGCTTCACAGATATTCTCTGAGTTATTTTCTGAACTTTTTCCCACTATTGGACAAACTTTCACATTTACTTCATGAAGGAGATCTCTTGTGGAGTCCATCTGTGCACACACAGTCCTACCAAACTCATCTCATACTGAACACACACTTTGTAGGAATCATCAGTACTTTGACTGTTACTCAGGTTAGCTTCAGGTCAGCCATTTAGCATTTCTTCATTCTGAGTCACAGAGCATCACATGACATCACAGAAGCTGATTGGTCAGCTGCAGTGATGATGGTGGAGCAGCATTATTGATGATGATGTAGAACAACAGGAACACGGGGATAACAGACTGTTAATGAGTTTAGTCATTCCTGCTGCACTGGTTGTCCTTCTTATTTAAGTGACCTGCTGAGAGTTCACACTGTTCTCTGTAGAAATGATGTCAGTGTGACTCGTCACATGTTTGGAGGTATGTCTGATGTTTGCTCTTCTGGAAACTTTCAGTATAAATTATGGAATATGCAATATGAAATGGAATATGGAATATGGAATATTCAATTCAATTCAATTTTATTTATATGGCACCAAATCACAACAAAAGTCGGCTCAAGGCGCTTCATA